CAAAAATCAGGTATTTGTTAATTAATTAAATATATTAAAATCACAATTATACAATTCAAGGTCACGTATGCATATTTATAGGTCACAACTTATTTATTAGTCACATTTTATAAAATTAATTGGTCACATTATTTTTCAATCACAAAGCAGAAAATTTATAAGTCGCAGATTTTTTTTCGGTCACAGATTAAAATTTTCATAGGTCGCAAGTCACAAATCACAAATATTATGAGTCACAAATTATTAATTTTTTTAGGTCACACGTAATTTCATGGTCATAAATTATTTTTTCATTGGTCACATATTATTTATTGGTCACAAATTAACTAATTTAATGGTCACAGTCGACCAAATAATTGATGACCACTACCAATACTTGCAACCTCTGACAACACCACCATCACATCCGCGCCAAACTACCACCACCACTGTCGCCAAACCACCATAACCGTCACCGCCACCACAATAGCACCACCACCAACAAAACCCGTTACCACCAGATCAAACAAAAAAATATCTCAAACCTGCCACCACCTTCATCCCCATCGCTACCACCATCCCTGTCGTCGCCAACAACACAGATCTGGTCGCGATGCTTCGCCTGTGAAGAGTAGCCGGAGTGGGTTGATCTGCTTTACAAATACTGTTGCTTCTTCGCGCCGCATCGAACACAAGTCATTTCACAGTCGCAAATTGCAAAGATTCGGGCTCCTTCTAGCCGACGAAGCTGCCGTTGCGTATGTTTAGAGAGAAGTTGGTCAGTGATGAGGGGCTGAGAGAGATAGAAAGGACAGTGAGACACGACATTTTGGAAGAAGACGAGAGGTGAGGGAAAGAGGTGAACGACAGCGTCGCCACTGCGCCGACTCATCGCGCTATTCACAGAGGAAGGGGGAGGAAGATGGGAGGCGAGAGATGGAGGAGAGGGATTAGTGTGTGTTAAAATTAAGGTTATTAATTAAGGTTTTAACATATATTACCTGATTTTTGAATAAATAAACTGTAGAAATACCGTATATTATGGGATTAATTGTGTAAAATTGTATATTTGATTATATGCCTTATTTAGATTAGAAAGATTTCCTTTTCCCTTGATTGGAAACTTACCTTATATTTGGTTTTCTTGTATTATAAATAAGACCCATAAGATTGTAATAATTAGAGTGAAATAATATATTGTCAATTCATCTCATTCTCTTCATGGTATCAGAGCTATCGTTTTTTACCTAGCTGCTTACCGTCAATGGCAGAAAATAGTGGCAATCCTACCACTTCAGAGCCTCTAAATAGTGAAGGAGAATCCCTCCACACCATGGGCTCTAGAGGTCTCGATAACTCATTATTCCAACTTATCGTTGAAAAATTGAACGGGAAAAATTATCAAGAATGGGCTCAATCTATAAAACTCATCGCCGATGGTAAAGGAAAACTAGGGTATCTTACCGGAGAAAAAAAGAAGCCAGCCTCAACCGTAACCGCTCTTCTGGACAAATGGAGGTCGAAAAACTCAATGGTGACTACGTGGCTAGTCAACTCCATGAAGCCTGCAATCGGAAAGGCTTACCTCTTTCTACCAACTGCCAAAGATGCGTGGGATGTAGTACGTGATATGTATTCAGATTTTGAGGATTCTTCCCAAATTTTTGAAATCAAAACAAGGTTGTGGCAATTGAAACAACGAGGACGGGAAGTGACCGATTACTATCTGGAGATGAGTTCTCTCTGGCAAGAACTCGACCAAAACGTGGAAGAAGAATGGGATTGTCCATCCGACAGTGTGAAATACAGGAAGAAATTAGAGAACGAGAGGGTTTATGAGTTTCTTGCTGGACTGGATCGTAACCTAGATGACATGAGGGACAGAATTTTGAGTCAACGACCCTTACCATCATCACGTAAGGTGTTCGCTGAAGTTCGTCGTGAAGAAAATCGCCGAAAGGTCATGCTCCCCGACGGAAAGATTGGGTCTGAAGAAGAGACTGGGAACACGTTATTTTCTAAGGGTTCTGGGTCAAATGGGCCAGCCCAATTCCTTTTTAAGGCTGGGCCATTTGAATTTTCTAATGGGCATGCTAATATTGGGCCTAAATGGAATGGGCCTGCTGAAACGGGCGCATTAATAAAAGGAGGATCTACAAAAGGGTTTGGATTTAAGCAAAAGGAACGTCCCTGGTGTGATCACTATCGAAAATTGGGACATAAAGAAGATACATGTTGGGATTTGCATGGGAAATCAGTGAATTGGAAATCGAGACAAAGTAACAGAAATCGTGGCTACCAAGCATGTGTTGACTCTATGGAAGAAAACAACAACTCCAGTCCTAGTAGTGCATTCAACCCTGACCAGTTGGAGCAACTCTATAAAATGTTTTCAAGTTTTCAATCATTCCTCCATCAGGCTCACTTGCTCACAAAGGTAATTTTCTAAGAGCTTTACATACACTCACTCGGTCCAAAGCTCTCTGGATTATTGACTCAGGTGCATCTGATCATATGACAGACTCCTATCATCTCTTTTCCACATACTCCACTTGCGCTGGCAATATCAAAGTTAAAATTGCAGACAAGTTACTCTCACCTGTAGCTAGAAAAGGGAGTATTCGTATCTCCAATTCTATAACACTCGAATCTATTCTTCACGTTCCAGATTTATCTTGCAACCTACTGTCAATTAGTCAATTAACAAAAACTTCCAATTGCTCAGCTAAAATCCTCCCGTCTTATTGTATTTTTCTGGACCTATCATCGGGGAAGACGATTGGCACTGCTAAAGAATGTGAGGGACTTTATTACTTTGAAGAAGCAGATGTGAGTAAACTAAATCAAATTGCAACTTGTAATTCTACTCACATCCCTAGGAATAACGAGCTTTTGTTATGGCATTTTAGAATGGGTCATCCCAATTTCAATACTTACGACATGTATTTCCTTCAAAGTTCTCAAATAAAACTACATTTGATATTCAGTGTGAAACCTATAAACTGGCAAAACATCATCGTACTACCTTTCTGAGATCAACATACAAACCATCAAAACCATTCACTTTGATTCACAGTGATTTATGGGGTCCCTCACGAACTCCAAATCGAACTCACAAAAAATGGTTCGTGACATTTGTAGACGATCATACTAGACTTTGCTGGGTTTATCTCCTAAAAGAAAAATCTGAAGTTTGACATGTGTTTATGAACTTCCACTCGATGAATCAAACACAATTCCAAACACAAATCCAAATTTTACGCACTGATAACGGTACTGAATACTTTAACACTACTTTGAAAGAATTCCTCCAAACACACGGCATAATTCACCAAAGTTCTTGTGTTGACACTCTCCAAAAAAATGGGGCTGCCGAATGGAAGAATAGGCATCTTCTTGAAGTTGCTCGTGCCTTAATGTTTATCACAAACCCAAACTATTCTGGGGAGATGCCATTCTAACGTCTGCATACCTCATCAACCGAATGCCCAGCCACATTCTCTCATTCAAATCCCCTCTCCAAAAATTTAAGGATTTTTTTCCAAATTCCTGCCTTGATTCCAGCTTACCCCTCCGAATATTCGGGCTATACTGCTTTCATCCATATTCATCCCCATCATCGGAGTAAGGTCGACCCTCGCGCACTTAAATGTATCTTCATTGGCTATTCATCCACTCAAAAGGGGTACAAATGTTATGATCCATCCACCCAAAAGATATTTGTTACTCTTGATGTCACATTCTTTGAACAAAATCCCTACTTTACAAAGCCCTATCTTCAGGGGGAGAATTTGAGTGAAGATCGGTTCTTCAACATTGATCTCTCTACCACTGAATCTATCATAAACACGCCATTTACAAAAGGAAACTTAAACTTAGGGGAAGATGTAGGAAAGCAAGTTAATAAGGAGATATTAGTTTATTCACGAAAGCTAAAATCAATGTACAATGAGAATCTCACACCCGAAACACCAAAAGAGTTACAATCGATGACATGTCCAAATCCTCATGAGACTCTTCCTGTTGAAATCGAGTCTTCAGGAATTGATCTACCTATTGCTCTCAGAAAACCACCTCGATCATGTACTCTCCACCCTATCTTTAAATTTGTATCCTATAATACTCTGTCTACGGGGTTTCACACTTTTTCTTCTAATCTTGATAGTACAGAAATGTCGAAGAACATTCAAGAAGCCATGACTATTCTCAAATGGAAGGATGCTGTTTTAGAAGAAATGCAAGCACGGGAGAAAAATAACACATGGGATGTGGTAGAGTTATCAAGGGGAAAAGACATGTTGCTGCAAATGGGTTTTTAGTGTGAAGTACAAGGCTGATGGAACAGTAGAACGTTTCAAAGCTTGTCTCATTGCAAAAGGTTATACACAGACCTATGGCATTGACTATACAGAAACATTTGCCCCTGTATCAGAATTGAATACAATCCGGGTTATCTTGTCTGTAGCAGCAAACTTGGATTGGCTTCTCCAACAGCTTGACATTAAGAAT